AAGGGAGGGAAGGAAGAGCGATCGCACCTCAGCATACGTGAAGTTGCTGAGCTTGGCATGCTGTAGGACACCCATGTTGCAGAGAGCAGCGACAAGACAATCATTCCTATCAGCTCGTCATGTCCGGCTCCTCCTGCTCCTCCATCACCATTCTTCTCTCCTAGGAAGATTCAGCGCCTTGGTGAAATAGATTTCCGCTCGCTGGTAGTCTCCTGGCAGCATGCAGTTTACAGCAAGGAAAGAGAAAAGGGGAGAGCGAGGAATGGTGAGAAAGAGGTTGGATAGATGAATCGATGATGATGTTGATGTTGATGATGATGATGGTGATGAAGATGATGACGATGATGATGAACGAACAGAGGTTCTTACCATACTCGTATAGCGCGAGCGCATAGTTGTAAACCGTCGGCAAGTGGTCAGAGAACAGATCGGCAAGGCGGCCGAGGGTGCGATTGAGCCTCTGGTATCATTTCCATCATCACAACCATAACTGACACATCTTATCAACTCCAACCTTCTTCGGCCAGCGCGGCACGAGATCGTTGATCCTTTGCTCGAAGTCAGACACCAAGTCTCTCGTGCTGTTGCTCTGAGTGTCCTGACACAACCCGTCAGGTCAGGACGGCAAGATCCTCCAGCACCAGAATCTCGGCGGGAATATCCAGCGTGAAATTTTTCAGCATGGTTATCAGGCTTTCTTCATCACCCTCCTCCCCCCCCTCCTCCTCCTCCTCGAAAATCTCACTCTGCTTGTCCGACTTCCCAGAATCATCGTCGTCGTCGGAGTTTCCTCCTCGCAAGTTGAGCGTGGACAGCGTGCGGTGGCCAGGAGCGCTCGAGATCCTCGGAGGCAGTTCGGCAACTCCCACCAACAGACGCTGCGGGGTAGAGGTCGAGGAGGCAGAGCAGAGCCAGGAGAGGAAGAGGAAGAAAGCAGATGCCTTGAGCAGCAGCATCCTCTTGGGAGAGGAGACCATGGGGGTTAGAATGAGATGGAGGAAGCAGTGACGAATGAAACCCTAGCTCGATCTTGATCCGAGAATGTCAGCATGGCATGCTGCTCTGACACCTGACGGCCTGATGGACATGATAAGCTCAGATGCATCATTATCTCCATCATCATCATCTCCATCATCATCATCATCATCATCATCTCCATCATCATCATCATCATCATCATCTCCATCATCATCATCATCATCATCATCATCACTATCATCTATGGGTCATCCATTTTTATCTTTTCCTTTCCTCATTTGCATCCAAGCATCCAACTCAATTCAAATCTAGATACCCTTCTATCGTCCTCTTTCATCCTCTCGTTTTCTCATACATGTTTCTTTCACTTCACTTCACTGGGCTTTTAGCTTCTAACTCTCTCCTCTTTTAATTCTCCTCTTTGCTATTCTCTCCTAATTCTCTTCTCTCCTCCTTCCCCCTCACCTCTCCAGTTCTCTGGCTCTCTCGTACTTCTCAATCTTCGCCGCACTACCTTGAAACATCCATTCTCCTCTTCTTCCCTCCTCCCCATCTCACCCCTATTCTCTCCCCCCACTCCATTCCTCCTCTTCTCGCTTCTTTCCTTCGATATCTCTGTACTCCCCACTTCCTACCCTTTCCTTCTATCAGTCTGGTCCAGTCTTGCTCTACCCCCCGCTCTGCCGGAAGCCACAACGTTTCTCAAGGTTGTAGTTGATGAGTCCGTTGGTATTGTTGCGGTCGACATTCCTGTTCTTTCTCTTGTCCTGCTCCACACTGTTGTTGTCCTTGATGCTTTGACTGTCTTATTGTGTTGTGTTGTTACTTTGTTGTGTTGTTCGCTTGTAGTCTTGTAGTCTTGTGGTCTTGTAGTCATGTAGTCTTGTAGTCTTGTAGTCATGTAGTCTTGTAGTCTTGTAGTCTTGTAGTCTTGTAGTCTTGTAGTCTTGTAGTCTTGTAGTCTTGTAGTCATGTAGTCATGTAGTCTTGTAGTCATGTAGTCTTGTAGTCTTGTAGTCTTGTAGTCTTGTAGTCTTGTTCTGTTTTTGTCTTTCCTTGTTTTCTTCTTGCCCTGTCCCCTTGTAGTCTTGTTCTGTTTTTGTCTTTCCTTGTTTTCTTCTTGCCCTGTCCCCTTCACATCAGCCCTTTCACCATCTCGTGGGGCGGATTTCAACCGAGGGGTAGGGTGGGTTCTTGTGGTAGGATATTGTGCGGTCATTTAAGGTCTAAGTGGGGGTAGGGTACTTCATTTGACAGGGTGGGGAAAATGAGGTGGTGAAGGCGATGGCGACAGTCGGGGCGCTTGTCGTCCAGCGGGGTGAGCGATGAGGGGAGGGGAGAGGAGGGAGGAGGGAGGAGAGGACAGGTGAGAGGAGAGCAGGGGAGAGGATGGGAGAGGACGGACTCTAAGTGTCATACTGATCGACTTCCTTATACCCCAGCGTGCTTCATTTTCATGTGCATCCTCCACGCCTACAGCATGGTGGATGTAACAGAGACCCTCCCATCCACCTTGCGGCTCAGAGGAGGGATGCATCTATTCAACGAAGCCATGTATGCGCTAGATGACGAGGTCGACCTCCCAGACGCTTACCACGATGAGAATATTCGGGAGCAGATACAGAAAAGGTTTCACAAGCTGGTAAGCCCTAGCACGAGTGGGTTGGCCGTCGACTTTCCAGCCATGCAGGAGCGATAGTGACGGGTTTGCAGTTTGACGATCCGAGCAACACAGAGCTCTACGACGCTGTGAGTTTGTGAGTCTGCAGGAGGCTGCTGGTCTGAAATCCCAGCCAGATAAAGCTCTTTAGGAGGAACAAGCTTGCGCACAAAAAGGTGATTCATTCCCCTGCTTGCTCACAGCTGGTCAACCCAAGTTGCCAGGAGCTGCCGATACCCATCCACCCAGTGGTAGATCCCATGGTCAGTAATCTTGTGCCACTGCTTGCCATGTGCATGACGCGGTGCAACCAGCTTGCTGAGATCAGGAGAAGAAATCAAGGTGCAGCTCAGTTCGATTCAAGGGATGTCTGACACCTTTGAAAGATGCCGCGGCTTTCCGGAGTAAAGATACGCTGCGGAAGAGGAGCAAGATAAAGCGAAGGCACATCCTATCCCATGTTCTATCCAGCAAGAAGCGCAAGGCTAAGAAACAACTCCATGGGAAACAACAGAGGTTGAGAAAGAGGAGAAGCTCAAGGGGCCCTGACAAGAAATGAATATTTAATATGATCTGAATTGGACGAATCTAAAACCCAACGCGATCAAGAGAAGCTACAACACGTCGGCCTCTCGGGTCGCAGATTGAGAAAAGTCATCACGGTACGAAACCTTGCAGAGTACCACTCAAAAGTCTATCGGAGTTGCCGGTGAGCCCCCCTATCATTCTTGTCCAGACCACAATCAACCTGCCTGTACACCGCCAACACACATGCATTGTTTACCAGGGTCTGAACATGGCCTCGTTCCTCACCCTGCGAAAGCACGGGTCACTCACTCGCAGGACAGGAGGACTCAGGACAAGTTCTATACTCACTTGGTGACGAGGCCCGCGATCCTGTTGGCAGCCTTTCTGTCCTTGTTCTCATCATGCTTGCCAAGCGGGTTGAACGGGTCATAGTTCACTCCATTGTTGAATCCCACGCCAAAGAGCATGGTGGTGGAGATCTGGAGAAAGCTCGTGAGTTTACTTGAATGCTGACAACATTGCTGACAGCGAACTTTGACCACTCGTTTCTGTTACACAAGACATTGCTCTACAACATGAAAGAACAAGTATGTACAGAGAGCACTCCATTCCAACAAAACAACCCTATCTTTGTCCCTTCACCACAGCGCTGATTTGTTATCAAATCAAGGGGAATACCACAGATCATTTCATCCAGCAGGGCACGTAATCAACAGAAGTGATCTTTCTGACATATCGTAAACGATTCCTGCCCTCTCCCTCACCTCTCCGACGGCCTTCGTCGCCTCTTCCCCCTTCGTGCATGGCAGGTAGCTGAACATGGTCTGTGCTCCAACCCCGAAATAGAACTATTTGATAACCCCTGTCCCACCCACCCCTCCTCAGTGTACCCCCCTGTTTAACCCTCCAACTACCCCCATATTTCCATTGTTTCGGTCCTCCCACACCCCCTGCACGCAAGCTTTCACTGAGCGTTCTCGGCCCGGCACAGATCCCGCTGAGCCTGAGTGCGGCAGGCCCGGGTCCGATCACATTGAAGGGCCTCAGGCTCGGAGCGGCCCGGCCCGGCCCGGAGGCTCGGGACTGAATCCGCCGTCCGACGACGGTCCGATCGGCCGGCGTCAAGTGCGACAACGACTGCCAGATCCCCTTGCCTGATTTATTTCAGTGGGTCGTCTGGAAGTGTCACACCGCTATCATATCATCCATCCCACTGTCAGCCCAGCTGGAGCTTACGGCTCCGATGATCCCTCATGGAGTTTTCTCGGTTCTGAAGTAATCGGGCTTACCTTTCTGAGCCCCAGCGATCTTTGTTGGCACCGTGACCACTCCAGCTTCTCTACTCCACTGTGAGTCACAGTTCGAGTAACCGGCCACCCGGTTGATGAACTTCTGTCTCAGTTTACCCCCGGGAGTCAGCGCACGATCTGGCACTCAAAGTACAAACCTTGGGATCCGGCGTTGAGCAGCAGCCTATCAGCTTGGTGACGGTGACTGCCGCTGACAAGTTTCTTCATGGACTGCCGATTGACCTCCCGCCGCTGCACTGCGATCAGGGTTGAAATGTCACCATCTTCTCCGTCATCCTGGGGGGACCACACACATGGCAACCTGCAGGCACCGCAGCCCGTTATGGACTGATGCGCATGAGAAGTGCAATGCTGTTGTCCTCAGTACCCTCATCAAAGATTCAGGACTGAGATGCCGCGTCCACGTGCAAGGGCGTCACCAGCCGGGGCAGAATGTTTCCCAACATTGGCCCTGAAGATCATCACGCTGAGGGGGATTTTGAACTTTCCGCAATGGGCAGGGGATTGCTCGGGAGCAAAACTGCAAGCAGCAGCACAGAGGAAAGATCCGGAGGGCATCGTAAATGCATATGCTCAGCACGTCCCGCCAAAGGTCTTTCTTCCCATCACATTGCCAGCACTGATGGACTCTTGCAGGATTGGCAACAAGGATGATGCGTTGCGCGTTCTGCTCGCAGGATGTCTCTGGTGATCCGACCTGTAAACGCATCCGGTCCAGGATCTTTCGTCAGTTCAAGGCCTCCCTGTCTTTCGCTGCCATCATCTCGGGTGCCGCAGTGCGTTCCGGTATGCGTCTCATTCCTGACAGTTGTGAAGGTATCAGTAAAAAGCACGTAAGTTTAGAGTGTAATGGCCGCAGTGGAAGCCGTGGAAGACTTAAGAATCAGTACGAGGAGAGTAGAGGAGATCAGGAGAGTAGAGGAGATCAGGAGAGTCGAGGAGATCAGGAGAGTCGAGGAGATCAGGAGAGTCGAGGAGATCAGGAGAGTAGAGGAGATCAGGAGAGTCGAGGAGATCAGGAGAGTCGAGGAGATCAGGAGAGTCGAGGAGATCAGGAGAGTAGAGGAGATCAGGAGAGTAGAGGAGATCAGGAGAGTCGAGGAGATCAGGAGAGTCGAGGAGATCAGGAGAGTAGAGGAGATCAGGAGAGTAGAGGAGATCAGGAGAGTAGAGGAGATCAGGAGAGTCGAGGAGATCAGGAGAGTCGAGGAGATCAGGAGAGTCGAGGAGATCAGGAGAGTCGAGGAGATCAGGAGAGTCGAGGAGATCAGGAGAGTCGAGGAGATCAGGAGAGTAGAGGAGATCAGGAGAGTCGAGGAGATCAGGAGAGTCGAGGAGGCTTGACCCTGACACGTCAACTTGCTGGCCATACGGCGAGAAGTCAAAAACTTGTTGAGCCTCTTTACTCAAAGTTAAGTTAAAAATTCAAAAATCAGCACTACGGCGAGGAGTTGAGTAGTAAACAGGGCCGCTGAGGCCGCTCCGAAGGTCACCGTGGCACCGGGCCTGATTTTTGACTTAACGGGAGTTGAGTAAAGCAAGGCCCGTACTATCAGAATCATTATATTGAGCCTGATATCACTTCAAATATCTGACGGTCGAGCCCCCGGATATGCCGCGGCTGAAGGGGTCGTTATGCCATTATTGACTTATAATTTGTACCACGGCTCTGCACCGGGAACCAGTGAACTCCGACTCGGCCCGGGTCCCGGACTCGGACCGTACCGGTGACCGTCACTGTCACTGCTGGCCGTGAGTCAGTAGCACCTGGTGGTATCGTATCTACGACCAACGGTGGTAGGACATAGGTTCTGAGAGACGTATCTCAGGAAGTTGCGACCCTTGGAGTCATGTGACCCGGGATGTCATAGCATTTAAAAAGATTTTTTATTGCGAGGAGTCTTAAACGAAACTCTGAAAATATTTCAAATAAAGTATGTTAAATTTCAACTTTGCATGATTCATTTGGCAGCCGTTTTTCATCAAACATGGACCACAAACCGTATCCAGTTTTGTCCCGAAGGATAAGGAGTACCATGTCTTCCAAGAGATGCGAGTTTACAACGTTTCGACGCAGTGAAGCAAAAAAACCTCGCGATATAGTAAAGGGGGTGGGGGTGATTTCTTGATAGGCTTTTCGTTAGCAAGGATGCAAGGACCCCTCTTTTCATGCGGAGATCGCAGGTAAAATATGGGGTGGTACATTCTGGGGAAATTACGAAGGGGAGGGGTCCAGGGGTTCGCAAAAGAGGGCGGGAATATTGGTTCCTAGGAAGAGAGCGGAAGGAAAACAGAGCGGAGGAGGAAGCGGACGAAGAAAAGAGCGATAAGTAGTCAAGAAAGAGTGATTAGAAACCTGGTACATACAATGGTGCACGCGATTGGTGAAGGAAGATCGAGAGAAACAGAGCAACAGGCTTCGAAAAGAATTGGTATGCACCTTCAACTATCGGATATCGTGTCGCTGTTTCACCTTCGACAGACAGAGGCTGCAAAACTCCTGGTGAGCCTTGAAAATTCTTTCTATTGTGTTTCATAATTGTGGTTGAATGACTTCTTTGCTCAGGGAATATCATTGTCAGCAATGAAGAATGCTTGCAGACGGGTTGGAATCACACGTTGGCCGTATTCCCGAAGCCGCCCAAATCTACCAGACGAACAATCGCATTTCAGCAGCCAATCAGGTGCAGAAAGTCCTGCTTCTTCAGATACTTTGCTGCAGACCGATGATGGTTTATCCTCGGAGACATCCGAATCTACCACATATGAAGCTACTACACAATCGGTTGGTATCTTCACAGATGAAGGTTCATCACAAATGGTATCAACGGGTCTAGGAACAACCAGAGAAAGCGTCCAGGATCCAAACACAGACAATCCTGTTGACACCTTCCAGGTCGACGTGCCTTCATTTGACGGGAGTGTACAGGCTGTGTCCTTCAACTACAACGAAGCACCCAACAATTTTTGCAGACATATCGGTGAGCGGGAAGATGATTTTCCTCCGCTGACTGAAGGATGGATTCACAACTTCATTGAATCAATCTAAAAGGAGCAGCTTCATCGTCTGCCATGTACAGAAAATGCCTCTTCGGCCTCGCCTCTGATACCCAGCAATTCAGGCTTGCAAAATGACCTCACTGACGCTCTGAGTGCGCCAGAAAGTGATCTGCTGAGCGGCAGAATCGCAGTAATCTAGTATCTCCAATGAATGTATCTCTACATCGAACATGTCGGCTATCCACAGGAAGCTGCTGCTGCTCCAGCGAAGCTGCAACGGCCCTCCCGGGCCGCCATGGTGGACGAGTTTTAGAGTAGATAATGTAAGTCCGCCTCAGAGGTGTAATTAGTGAAGTGTGAATGACAGAAGAGATCAAGGGACCGGGCAGAGATGCAGTACGAGCGACCAGCTGGGGGTGGAGGGGGAGGGAGGGGAGGGAGATGGAGAGAGCAGAGGCAAGGCGGGGGGGAGACGAGGAGACAGAGGGGAAGCAGGAGGGAGGTAGGGGTGGAAGCAAGATGGCAGGAGGAAGATAGAAGGGAAGGGGAGGAGAGGGAGAGGTGAAGGATACAACATGGAAGAGAACGTGGGACGTTGCGTGCAAGTTGTGTCAGAATGGAAGATAGGGAGGGAGCGAGTACGAGGAAGCGGAGGAGGACGAGGAGGAGGGCGGGTGTGGTGGTGAGTATGAGGATAGGAGACAGAAATGTGGGCGTAGAAAACTCACGATTCCTTCATCTCTGCGGTGCCATCGTCTCACCTGGAATGCAGTGAAGCGGCTATGCACGATCTCAAGTGCAAGGTCAAGTTGATCATCAAGGTCTGGCGTGCGTCTCCTCTGACGAGGCTGCTTGTGACATGCTCGCAAGGCCGACGACCTTGCGCTGAACCCTCCAAGAGGGCAAGGGTACTCATGCAGGGTCCTTGAGATGAACTCCGTCAGCGGTTCGTATGAGCTGGTAGATGCAACGGAGGTGGTGGAGGTGCGGGACGGGAAGCAGGGAGGCTTTGTGTTCGGCAAGAAGGTGCTTATGGACTACTTCTGTAGGCTGAGCTTGAGTTGCGTGCTGTATCTGACTGACTTGACCAGTCGAGAAGAAACAGCTGATCCGGTTCGAACTCCTCCTCTCTAGCGATGGGACGGGCGAGGCAGCTGCCAAGGTAAGACCGAGACTGGTCGGTCGGGTTGGCCGCCATGACGTCTGCCATAGCTCGACTGTACGCTAGGGAAGATCGTTGGATCCAGCAGAAGCACTCTGAGCGCTCAGCTGGTCTGATCCTGGACTTGGCACGTTTGGGGTATGCATGACGTTTCGAAAGGTTGCAACGAGCGGGGGAGCGGAGGGATGCGGGAAGCTCACGGTGCTGGCCGAAGAGATTAAGGTAAGACCCGTTGTTGACGCGATAGGAGAGGAAGGAGGTAGGGACAAAGATGGTGATTGTGGTGGTGGTGATGATGATGATGATGATGATGATGGAGATGATGATGATTGAGATGATGATGGAGATGATGATGATTGAGATGATGATGGCATGGCCGCTGATGATTGTGGAGTAAAACCATGGAAGTCCTGATCATCTTCTGTTGGCACAGGATCCGACCAAGGACAAGATATGGATCAAGATGAAAGGAATCAATCTTGCCGCCAAAGACAGTCTGCTGCAAGGCATGCGGGAGGGAGGGAGGGACGGAGGGAGGGACGGAGGGAGGGACGGACGGACGGACGGACGGACGGACGGACGGACGGACGGAGGGAGGGACGGAGGGACGGAGGGAGGGAGGGAGGGAGGGAGCGGGAGATACTGAGTCTCGAGCAGGAGGGAAGAGCGACCCCTACATCGTCATCAAGAGGAAGACTGCGATCAGCGAGGAAGTGGTGATGGGGCCGAGCAAGAGCCCAGCTGTGATCTGACGAGGTCTTGTCAACCGTCAGATCCACAAGACGGAGTGGATCAAGAACAATCTCAACCCAGAGTGGCAGGTACCGATCGTGTCGGGGGTCCTCCTCGTCCCCGACATCCTCGATATCGTCCTCCTCGACCTCCTCGACCTCCTCGACCTCCTCGACCTCCTCGACCTCCTCGACCTCCTCGTCCTCCGCCTTTTCACTCCTTCCACTCTTCCTCGTCCTCCTCTTGCTTCTTCTCCTCGACTACCTCTTCCTCCTCCTCTTCCCCCTCCTCCTTGTCGTCATCCTTCCCTTCCTTCTCCTTGTCCTCGTCCTCCACTGACCTCCTCTGCTTCCTCGCCCTCCGCTCCCTCCGCCCTCCGCCGCGTCTCCTTGTCTCGTCGATCCTCCAGCCCTTTACCATCGAGCTCATGGAGCTCTGCAACGGGGACATGGACAGACAGTTTATTATCGAATGCTGGGACAGGGTCAGCTCCTTCCCTCCCGCTCAACCACCCCTATCTATTGCTCCTCCTCGCTCCTGCTCCCCCTGCTGCTCTACCTTGCTCTGCTTGCTCTGCTTCTTCTCTCTTGCTTGCGATCTAGCTTCTCTGATCTCTCCTCCTTCCCATCGTCACGTTGATCCAAACAGGATGAGGCAGTGATGGGCATCGGGAAAAGCAAGGACGACATGATAGGCAAGATCCTCGTCCTCCTCCTCGTCCTCCTCCTCCTCCTCGTCCTCCTCCTCCTCGTCTTCTTCCTCGTCCTCTTCCTTCTCCTACCCTTCCTTGTCCTCCTCCTCCCCCACCCCCTTGTCCTGCTCTCACTCCTGCTCCTCCCTTCTCCTTCATTCCTCCCTGCCGACAGTTTCTCCGTTTCTCTCTGCGGTCTTATCTTGTTCTCAGGTCTTGTCACCACAACTGCCAACGAGCTCTTGTCGGGCAGGGACATCCAGGTAGAGTGGAGGGAGCGACAGACACTGAGCTCAAGCGTTCGTCCTCCTCAGCTGCTCGACTACAAGGAGAGGAAGCCGGGGAAGGAAGTCGACCCAGGTTGCTGCTGCTGCTGCTGCTTCTGCTGCTGCTTGTGCTGCTGCTTGTGCTGCTGCTGCTGCTGGTGCTGCTGCTGCTGCTGCTGCTGCTGCTGATGATGATGATGATGATGATGGTGGTGGTGGTGCTGCTGGTGCTGCTGCTGCTGCTGCTGCTCATATGGCTGCTGATGTTGCTGTTTGAAACCCCCTCCCCTGCTACTGCTGCTGCTTCTGCCGCCGCCGCCCCTCTTATCGTCGTCCTCCTCCTCTCTCCCCCCTTGGTTTTCCCTTCTTCTTCTTGGTAGCTCACACAAAAATTAGGCAAACTTGGCGTTGAGTGCAAAATCATCTACGACCCTCTGACGGTGAGCGAGGACGAGAATCAGGACGAGGAAGAGGAGGAGGACGAGAAGTTGGTGGTGGTGGTGGTGGTGGAGGAGGAGGAGGAGGAGGAGGGAGAGGAACAAGGAGGGTGGAGGAAACCTGACAGGGCAACAGAGGACGCCGACCTTTCTTGACTACATCTCCCACGGTTGCAAGCTGAGGGTAAGGAGAGAGTCCCGCTCCCTCCTCCCTCCTCCCTCCTCCCTCCTTCTTTCAAGCTCTTCCCGCTCTTCCCTCCCCCCTCCTCCCTCCTCTTCTTTCTCCCCTGCGCCTCGTCGTCATCCCTCCTCTCAGATCTCCGTGGCCGTGGACTTCACCGGCTCCAACGGAACCCCTACCGGTAGCTCGGGACGAGCTGGGCAGGACGAGGAGCCAGCTGACGTGCTCGCAGACAAGCAGTCTCTGCACTACAACGGGGAGCCTCTCAACAACCAGTACTACCAGGCCATGTCAGCAGGTCACCTGCCCCGTCCTCCCTCCTGCGGGTCTGACTGAAAGTGTCTAGTCGCAAGCATCATCCTCGCCTATGATGACGTCAATAAGGCACTAGCGGCGCAGGGAGGAGGCGACGGTTGATGTCCTGCCAGGTAGACGCCATGGGCTTCGGAGGCATCCCCAACAAGGGCAACGGTGACGTCAGCTTACTAGCTCTGCTGGTCCTCAACCTTGCTCCTGCAGAAGTCAAGCACTGCTTCCCTCTCCAAGTCTCGTCAGAGGTCTGCCTTCCCACTGCAGCCCTCTACCTCCGCCTTCCTACCCTCCCTCTCTCCCTCCTCCCCCCTCCCGGATGGTTGTCTTCAACCTCTTTCTCACCTCTCCCTCTCCTTCTCTCTCTCTCTCTCTCTCTCTCTCTCTCTCTCTCCTCCTTCTCTCTCTCTCTCTCTCTCTCTCTCTCTCTCCCTCTCTCTCTCCCTCTCCTTCTCTCTCTCTCTCTCTCTCCCCCTCTCTCTCTGTCTCTCTGTTTCTGTCTCTGTCTCTCTATCCATCGATCTATCTCTGTCTCTGTCGCTCCCTCCTTCCATCTGTCTCTTTTCCCAACTCCTCTCTCCTCCCTCCCTCCCTCCCTCAATCCTCTCCTCTCGTCTACCTCCCTCCCTCTTTGCTCTACCCTCTTCTCCGAGGCGGTATCTCTCTCTGTCTCTCTCTGTCTCTCTCTGTCTCTCTCTGTCTCTCTCTGTCTCTCACACACACACCTTCTCCCTCCCTCCTCTCTCTTCTCCAATTATTCTGGAAATTCAACCAAGTGCGGGTACCAAATGCCTCGTCATCTAATTAGTGACGCGCTTATTCCGTGAAGTAGAGGCGGGGCCCAAAGCCCCACTTTCTGGACTTAAGGACTCCGGTCCGATCTAGGCGGAAGACATTGTCAGGTGAAATCTCATGTAGAACAAAAGGGTAAAAGCTCACTTGATTTTGATTTTCAGTATGAATACAAACTGTGAAAGCATGGCCTATCGATCCT